TTTCCTTTGTCTGCCCGTGCTCGTTCGCGCTACGACTTCGGTACTCAGTGGAACAGTTGCACTCAGTAGAGCTAGTATAGTTATATATACTAGGTATAGTGGTACTCAGTAGAACAAAAATTTAGTTTGAAAATCTTCACAGCCCACTCAGCTCGCATGCCTTGCTTCGTCGTCCTTGCCTCTGTGCGTGCTTCGCGTGCTGTGTTCTACACGAAAAGTGTAGAAGAGCCAACGTGCAGACAACTTCGGCGATTCTCGTATGCTTTCTCGTTTACGACGTTATATGCGTTTCCTTGGCCCTCCTACTTGTAGGCGGCACACTGTATATCTAACCGAAATTTTCGAGCAGCACGCCCATATCGCAACGTACAGGCGCGCCCAATACGAATTGCAACACGGTACCTGCGATCGAAGCGGCGCGCCATCACTGCATGCTGGCGTCGACGTACGTTATTCCTTCTTTCGACTACGACTACTGGTATTTGCAAAACCGATTTCGCGTTTGCTGGCGTTACAGCCAAAGCTGGGGCAAGGCTCAAGCATGGCCGCTGTGTTGCAACACGTGTTGAGTGCCACTGTACAGGTTGTGTCGTGACAGCGTGCACCTGGGCTATGGTGACCAGGTCGAACCGCTGTGTTCTCGAACTTGGTAGAGTGCGCCTCTCCAGTGCCGCGGACGAAGGTGCGAGCCCTTCCAGCCGGCCCACCAAGGTCTTAGCTGTGTGGGCGTGCAGTAGATGCGGCTGATGGTCGAGCCGGGGAGGACCATCACCATCACCCAGTTGCGGCGGCGTTGGCTCGGTGTTGGACGCCATGAGCGTCGTGAGGGCGGCCAACGTGGTTATCCAACTCCGAGGAGGCACCATGTCTGCGGGCGCCGTCGCAGTGTCAGCCTCCAGGGCATGTCTCTGCCCACCACGCCGACGCTGGCCAGCGACCCATACACTGCCTTCTGTGATGATGACCATGATCACCACGATGATGATGGAGGTCCTCCTGCTAATGGCGCTCACCCACTAATGGGGAAGAAATAATGAAGATGGTTGATTGGTCGGTTCTACCCACCGATGGGGATTGGTCACGGAAGGGGTGGTGCCCATGCTTGGTTGTTTGTTACCTGTCATCACTGCCACATACCCAGTCTAGGGCATTCGCCAAGAAAGAGCATAGGCACCGCACACTGACCAGAGGGAGCTGCGTTGCTCCGTCTCAGTCTTTGACATTCGCCGTCAGGAGCATGCAGAAAACAGGCATGTGCGCGCTATGGGCTCCTTGCAAAAATGTCAACACTGGGCGGCCGCATCAATGGTAAAGGAAGAAACTATCACAGAAAGCGTGCGTCCACTGGGCTCCGTTCTTGTCCACTCCGCCTTCGTTATGGCAGTGGCGATTGTTTTCGCCACGTACGGGTGGGAAAGTGATCTTTTTTTGCCTTCCGCCTCTAAACAAAGACAGGCTAGTTGAGTTTTACCGAGGTAAGTTGACGACAGGGTGCTCCTGGGACCGCAGCTACAACTTCAGTGCAGAATCGCGTGGGACGCCGATGCCATAACGAAGACGGAATACTAGACAAGAACGGATCCCGGTGGACGCTCGCTTTTAGTGGCCGTTTCTTCCTTTATCATGGACGCCGCCGCCCAGTGTTGCCGTTGTTTTTGCAAAGGGTGCAGAAATTAGATGCCTTTCTCCTCTTCTAACCACTACTACGATATATCCCGGGCACAATCCACCGACAGATGCAAGGCGCGAGACGCACGCGTCGCGTTCCTTACCCACGCTGTCTCAAGGTTGCTTTTTTATCCGCTAGGCTCTGTATTCTGGCGCTGCAGTCAGACTGGGAAACTCGATTGAACAGTGCCTATATGTGAAAACTACACAATGATTGTCAGCATGTTTGTCTCTCTATATAAATGGCACGTACCCACTTTGGGGGACGCAACGTTGAGACTGTTAAATGTTATTTTAGGTAAGCTATGAAATTAAAAACCAAAAATAAAGAAATTAAATGACAATAATACGTAAATTATTCAATTTAATTAAACAAGTAATATGCTTTTGAGCTTGTATTCCAGACTGCCGTAATAACATGATGGGGACAATTTTGAAAACTTAGTTTTTAGCTTGATGAAACGACGAATAATTTTAAATACCAGATTAAAATGGTACTCGTTGAGTGGTTATAACGAAATTACACAAGGCATACCTGTGGCAGTAACCCAAACCTGAGGCACCGAAGCCTATAATATCTTCCTCCGATAAGGTCAAGCCTTTTTTTGCGAAAGGAGTAATTAGAAGTTGAGTTCCAATACGAGAGTATCTTGAACACGGCTAAAAGTAATGAGCAATATTTTCCAGTTCTCCGCAGAATTGGCAGAGGGGTGATGTTGTCAGACCAGCCCTGTACCAATGAAAGTTTAATGCGGGGACACGACATCGAAATCTGGTGATCGTCACTTCTGATTGTCGAGAATGGATCCACTGCCATTTTCCATGGATATTTTAGCTGATTATATTCCGTCCACGTGGTGATTGCTTCCATCCTATCTGTGTGTCTGTGTGAATAGCTAACCTCCTAAACCTGATTGCGGTGAAGTATTCTACCACCGGGAGAACCTGAACTATTGGGAGATGTAGCCATGAACGGGCTGAAGTGTCGGCCATTTCATTTAATGTTAATCCACAGTGATTTGGGACCCATACTAGTTTCAGGTACTTCAGCTGGGACGGTACTAAAGATCGTAACATGTTCTTTCTTTGCTTCGTCTTCTTCTGTGACTGTTACCAACTGCGAAACTATACCGAAAGAGCGATTGGAGGACAGCTAATCACCAGTGTCACTAGGACCCGAAATAATGAGGCCGAGTTTCATCAAGAGAAATATAGTGTCCTTTTGAGATCTCAGGAGATGCGACCATGGGCGTCAGCAGGGGGTGCAAAAGAGGCACTTTCCCCCAAGCCACAACAGCACTTGCCCTCATCCAAGCTAGACCAGTGCCCTCCTTCTCTCTAAGCCGCGGTGAAAAACAATGGTTTGCACCCCCTCCCCGCCCCCCAAGAGAAAATCCTGCCGACGACCATGGATGCTGCAGGCCATACAAGTCGTATACATAGTATACTGCGAATGGCAGTAGCAGTCACATGCCGCTATCAACCTGTCTGTCAATGTTGAAACGAATACGCGTTTTTACTGCTCTTACTCTAAATATCCCCGTGAATATCAAGTCTACATTTGTTAGTTCACTTTTGAGTATAATTGCTTGAGCCAATGACATAAGTTTTTTTGGTTGTAATTAGAAAATTACCGTGTCATGAAATGGCATGCGCTCAATTTCCACCAAGGCACTCGGTACACATGATTAACAAGAGAGGCCGAAAAGTGTGGCTCATAATCAGTGTTTGCCCACCATATGTTTCGTTAATTTTTAGTGGACCACCAGAATGAGTAGTGCGGTTTGCCCCGATTTCTGAGGCACATACATACGAACTGTAGGAAAGAGCAAGCATTGTCATGTGTTGGCCCTCTCCAGTCTTTTTGTCCTTCACGCATTGCTGAGACAAAGGAATTCAGCAAGCCCCACTACTGAGTACAAACATTTATGGAAGCCATATATGGGCTGCTGGTGAGAAAAGTCACAATAAAGGAAATAGTGTGGGAGGTGGTAAAGCATGGTGCATCCTTGCAGTATAGTACAGGAAGGAGGTGGGAAAGTGACGGTACAAATGAGTGGTGTTAGTGTGAATAGGAAGGAAAAGAGAAGGCTAGGGTGATGCATAGCCTAGCCCTGTATAGTATGGTCAAGCAAATAGATGGGAAAGGCAAGTGAAGGTGAGTAGTAAGGAAAGGGTAAAGTATAGCACAGTCTTGTATGTTATACTGAAGTAAGACCGAAATAGTTGTACAATATAGTACAACAAGGGGCGAGAAAGGGTGAGAAAGAGAGAAACTTCACCAGCTCCACTGTTTGCTCAGTGTTCACACAACCAGTGCGTAGCTGCCCTAATTTCTTTTTTTTTTTTTTCAAGTGATAGGATCCAACACCAACATAAATATGATCTCAAAGATGTTTGTGATCATCATTTTAATAATGTGAATAATTTAACTTGCATTTTATTCCGCATTTAAATGACCTATTTACAACTAGGGAGATGGACTTCATAAGTTTGTTGCACGACAAACATTGCATGGCACTGTGCACACTAACTTTAGGGTGTGCGGGGGGAGGCAGGAGTAGTTTGAGGACATTCCTATATACACAAGGAATGTGCACAAGAGTGCACACAGAATCAGCCAATACCTGTTCGGTCCACTTGCTACATGCACAACAGAATCGGAAAAGAGGGAGCAGGCCATTTTTGGCTGCTTTTGAAAGTAAACGATATATTATTTTGTTCACATGTTATTTATTATGAAATTATTTTGCTCACAGCACATCTTGAGCATTAAAAAAGTGTTGCATGGCCCCTTCAACTAAAAAACAGTTAGAGTGTGCCTTTCTTTGTATATACCTACTCTCCTTATACTTCTGTTCAAAACTGGGTCAATTCTGAAGACCGTAATCGAAGATCGCGGGTCACTCCTTACACCTGCACAGAATAGTACATACCTTTATAATAGAGGTTTTATACTAGACTACTACTTGAATACAGTGGTCATGTGTAAATGATGGGTCTTCTCCCTCAAATTGTTGGTGTCTACTCGTACGCCACGTCAGGAGCTAAATGTGGATGGAGGGAGGCGCAGCACGATAATAAGTCGTCCTCCTGATTTACTCATTGGTCAGGCATGTATGAATTGTTCGTAAATGAACACAGCTGGTAACTGGCGCTGCCGAATGTTTGTAGCCCAAGGGGAACTGAAAGAGCACCCATTCCTATATCATTCGTCTGATGCCTGTCCTTTTCACTGACGGGTGTAAGCACTGTGAAAATAGAGTGTACAACATGTACAAGGAGCTTGCAGAAGATGGGTAGGTGTTTATGAATCAGTAAAACGAAACAGATTTGTCAACAAATGTTTATTTACACTAAATATAAATGTTTGGAAACCTATAATAAACATTTCCTATAAGCAACAATCAAACTTTATAGGCTTTTTTAGCAACGAAGATAGCTCACTTTCCAGGAGTTCACGAAGAGATACACCATCGTGTTTGTACACCCATGTGTCTCCCACGTAGTCGTATCTCTTTGGACCACTGAAAGAGCAATGCACATGTCTTTGACACATTATCTATTTACTGGCTATCTGTGAACAATGGTACATATTTTCGTTACCATTAAAGAAGCAGATATTGAAAAACTTATTACCTGACAGGTGATGAAAGCCATATCTGCCTGTTCGGAGTCTGCTTGTTGATTACATAGGTACCATATTTTCGCCCAAGGTGTATAGTCAAAACACCATCCTGGGTAGGGGAAAAGTACGATGAAATGTTCAAGCATAAGATATGCATTTACCTAGCCTCACTTACACTCAATGCAAAGTCCGCTTCAGGAACATCACTGAGGTCTTCAATGATTTCATCAAATCTCTCAGCTAAAGATTCCAACGTATCTTTTGTAATGGCCTCATATTCGGCTTCGGTCATGGAAGGCCTGAAAACATTGCAGAGGACAGAACGTTAGGCATAAGCTACATCAAACTGATCTAGGTAACTGTGTTACATACGAGACAGCTTCATACTCATCAAGTACTCCTTGTGAAGAGAATGCTCGGCACAGGGTCAGGCTTTTTTCGCTTCTGTTATGAACGAATCCCGTCAGTGCCTGAAAAACAAGGGACGAGAAATCATTGGCCTGCAACAAGTAGAGAGCACTATCAATTAGCAGCCACGGTCCTATTCCTGAAAACAATTGAGCTCCGTTTACCTGCGCTTCGATTCGTAATGCAACTTCAACAAAGTTCGAAAATCAGCGGAGCACGAAAATCACATTACAGAGGCAAGGCGCGCGATGGTAGGGTAATTGTATTTGACACACCGACTACTGCCGCAATGAAAAACTGACTAAAGCACCGATTGGGACGCCGCGATGGTTCGCTGTACGTCTGCGAAGTTATGCTTCTGAGCACAAGGCCGCCGGCTCGATTCCCGGATGTAAGGGTCGCATATTAAGTGATGCGAGGGTGAAAACACAGTGCAATTATTCGGGAAGCGGGGGGGGGGGGGGTCATCCATGGAAGGACTTCATGTCGTGGGAACACAGCAAACCCCCTAACAAACTCACTAGCGTTTCTTAGTTCTCAAGTTCCTTTAATGAATTGATCGCTTCAAAGAAGGTAAGGTGCGGAATACAGCTGTGAGCCCTGCGCCCACCCTTATTTCGCATGTGCGCTGCCCAGTCACAAAATAACAAGATTGTGACATTTCTAAACATTCACACAACACGCGTGAAATACAGTGTAGAACAAACGGTTTCACAGGCACGGTCGCTATTTGACATCACGGCTTTGGTGAGCACTGGTCAACTAACGCTTTTCTTGACAGCTGCGAAAGCCCTTAGTTGCATCGACGAAGTCGCTTTCACACGACACTGTAGCAGCGATGTCCAGCGTTTCCTCACGAAAATTCGCCGTAGCGCGTCCATGCTCCTCAGAAACGCTCGCACCCTCAAGAAACGTTTTCGGTGTTGACTTGGGAACGCATTGAATGCGTTCTAATAATGTCACTTTAACAACAAATCAGCGTGATTTCGTCATCATCTATGTTATAATGCTTTTTCAAATGAATGAAGCGGCTCAAAACACTAGCGCCATCTCTAGGCGCGCAAAATGACTAAAGGTCAGTTTACGTAGTAGTAAATTATAAATTTAGGGTATCTAGTATTACGAGCGCATTTTATTCGTTTGTGTTGTAGTTTTTAATTAGACACTGTGTAACAAATAACGCTAATTGTGCAATTTATTTTTAAGTGATTCGTGGTCAGTCAGCAGTTGCTCAGTGCCAGCAGTTTCACATGTGGGAGGAGGGTCCGCGCTGTAATGTCGGTGGGGTGGGCGCACGGGAACTTTGCTGCGCTGCCGTCCGTTGTCCTAGTCGAAATTTACGAATATCTCTCGTTCAGGGACAAATTGAAGGCTTCCTCTACGTGTCGAGCTTGGCGGGACTGCCTTTTCCACCCGAGATTCTGGACGACGCTCACGATCCGCCTTGGCCGCAAGCGAAACGCCTGGCGTCAAGCTGAGTTTCTGGCCAAGAAATGCGGCCGCTTCGTGCGTCATTTCACCCTGGAGTTCGACTGCACGAGCCCGCAGATAGTGCAGCAGTGCATCGCGGTCCTCGCCTTGCTCGGAGAAAACCGTCAACTAACGTCGCTATGTCTCCGTCCGACTGCCTGCGTTGTTGCCTGGCCGCATCGCCTCTACGATGCTCCAAATGTTCAGGCAATGAAAGCGAAACCATCGCTGTCTACGACAGGTGAGCGAACAGTGCGCCGCGGTGTCGATGTCCGCTATCGCTTGGTTTCGAGCCTTTATTAGAGTGCCAAGTCGCAACCAAAAATAGTACGCTTTCATTGCTGTTTACACAGCACTGTGCTCGGTATGTCGCTTGCAGATCTACGGCCTGTCACGTGACGTTTGTCGTTTGTACGCTACTGGCACTTCGTAATTTCACCAATTTGCGCAAATAAGCGCGTAAACACTCTCAAAAAGCTTTAACTGTTTGGACATGACCGTAAAAAGGTTTAATTGAAGGTTGCCGTGGCAATTCGTACGGCTTATGGTAATAAGGGCAATTCAGGGCTCGTTTTGTGTATGCGTCTAATTCGCTGTTTTTTTTTTTTTGCATTGCTTCCTTAAGCGTTCGACCCTGAACGAACTCGCCCTAACTAAAGTTTTGATTGACCTGCAAAGTATGGTACTGGCCCGTGGGAAATATTGCATGCACCATAATGCTTGCGTCGTCTCGTCAATCGTGCGTCTAGGTTGTGCGGCCGTTTCAGAATAGATGTTGGTCAGCACTGATCACAAGTTCGGCTTGCAACGAAACAAAATGACACGTATTACGCCGCTCGAGTTCAATCGCTTCGCTGCTTACAGCGTCGCATCTCGTTATATTGTTAAAATTGCAAGCCACGCTTTTCTTAAATTCACTTCAAGTAATCAAACGCGGTCTGATTATTCCGGCGCAGGTTCCTCGAAGTAATCGGGCAAGTCATCTGTACGTCCTGTCACTTGGAGTACTTCTCTCTTGGCTGCCTAGAGGACCTATTCCACCATTCGGACAGCTTCCTGACGCTACTTAGCTTGCACCAGCGGCGTTCCCTTTCGCAACTACACCTCGCAAGCGTGAAAGAAGACCCCGACCACTACCCCATCCCCGAAATCCACTTCTGGCAACTACAGCATTTCGAATGCCTGTCAACTCTTAAGCATCGACTACGATTACGTATGCGACCAGTTGCTTCTGCTTCTGAGCGAACGAAGCGTGCTGTTGAAATTGGTGCTGCACGTTCACGGTCTAGATGACCAGCAGACGGTTTGCGAAGGCTCATGGCTTGAATTGAGCAGGCGGTGCCCTAAGCTTCGCGTCACTATCGCCCTTCTGCACACCTGCGAGCCATGGAGTGCTATCAAGGGCCTTCTCAATGCTGCCATACCGCTGGCAAAGTTTCAGTCGTACTTCAGCGATGGATTCCGAAGTGATGTCCTCGATTTGCTCTCTGCACAGTACGCTGAAACGTTGGAAGCAGTCACTGTTGTAAGTGCTCTCTCAGGTATTGAAGGTATTCCTCAACGAACCTTCGCCGTGCGAGCTGAAAGTCCAGTGGTCATGCTAGCGTGGCGTTGCCATCGACTGAGAAGCCTTAAATTGGTTGGTGAGTTGTAGATCTCAGACTTCTGCTATGTCAAACATTGTTCTGTTATTCGTACTTGCAGATTATGGGAGAAACCTAAAGCAGAAGGTGTTAGTAGGAGCAACCCTAAGTTTATATGTGACTGTTTTGCATGTTTCCTTACATGTCACCTTGTTGAAAGTGTGTTTGACCAACTGAAATTTTAATACATGGAGTTTATTTTCTGTTTTGCCTTACAAATGCATGAAAAAATTTACTTGGCATGTTCCAACCATTGTCTCTTTATGTGTTGGTGACTAATTTTGTTCAAAGCAAAAGCAGTGTTCATGTCTTATATAAACTAACAAAGGCAACAGACAAGTAAGCTGAGGAAAACATAGGAGACATTATTTGTAGTTTCTGAACTGTGGTGTGATGATTTTCACTTATATTAAAAGGAATTGAAGTGGACAAAAACTCTACCTCTCTGTCGGTACGATGCAAACCTGCAACCTTCGAATTATGTGTCCAATGCTCTAACATTCGAGGTATGACAGAGGGCGCTCTCTCATCCACTTTTTGTCGGGTATTTGTGTGTTCCATACCTGGGAGGATTAGCCAGTGCCACTCATAGCCCAGGCGGCAAGTTTAGAACACTGTTTTTTGCCTGAGGGTGTTACGGGACACACGATCTTCCCTTGAGATGTGGGCTGACCAATAAACTTTTGCTTGCTATCTAAGTTTGTGGGTTCAGATCCCAGTGACGGAAAGGGTGATTTTTCATCCACTTTCTTTTTCTCATCCTATATGACAATCGGTGTTTAAGGTTACGTTCTTTGATGGGATGACCACACTGCTTGTCTGCATGAACATTTTCCTCTACACAACCTTGTACAATTAAATGCCTATGTATGAAAGGGATACTGAAGAGCAACATGATTTCTGGCATATTAGTGTAGTGCAGTTTCGCAATCCCAAAAACACCATTCTTACGGCGACACGCTGCTTGGTAAGGGAGACAACACATGAAAAAAAAGTATGCTAATGGAGACGCCACCTTAAGATTCCCACGCCAAACACCGTGACGTCTTCAATTCTGAAGGCATTTACTGGGTCCTACATAGCTTCTAATTGAGTGCCATAGACTGCATACGAAGATTCAGAAAATTTAATCGAGGCAATGCTACGAAAATATGAGAAATACATTTTCAAATTTTTTAATGTTATGCATGAAATTATGGTGCAAAAATTTTAAAGTGAAACTTCAGCTTTTCTCCACTAGTTATGAACTAATGACAGTAAAACTTGTGGCATTAGAGTGCAGTTTACCCATATATACCAAGTCATAGTTCCTCTTTAGTGTCCCTATAAGGCTGCGATTCTAGGCATAAGCATGGCGGCACTAAGCAGCATACTAAGTACAGTATGCGTCAATCTTTTCATTGCTTATAAAAAGGCTTCTTCGCAAGACGATATGACACAGTATATTTGCGACATTATGTGGAAATTGAATATTACTGATTCCTGCTCCACATTTTCTAGGCAGTTGTCTGTCTTCAACCATTTTAAGATATGATATGAAATGGGGGGAACTTATTTCATGTTAGAACTCTGAGGTACCTCTTCCTTGCATGGAAAGACTTAACTAGCACTGGTGCTCTGTTCTGCTGCCACAAGAAAGGTTGGTGAATGATAACAAAGAAAGCTATGCATATTCACTTGACATACCAATGTAATCACAAGCAAGTATGCACACTAGCATTTCATTTTAATGTCTCCTGGCACTGAAGAGCTGTTCGACGATCGCTGATTTCGAGTGCCTGAGGGTGCATCATAACATGCTAGGTTGAAAACTCTAGTGATGGTGCTGCCACTTCTATAATGGCAGCCAATCTGTGTGCATATGCAAAAGGGGGCCTAAATTCTAGCTACTGGTGCATGTATTGCATAGATAAAATGATCATGAGTTGGTGGCCATCCTAAAATTGAAGGGACACTAAAAAGCAATAAGACTTTTTCATACTTGTAAACTACTCTTTCACGATGCTTAAAACACCATGCTTGTAGTGAGAAGATGCTCAGCAAGCGAGAAAATGCACTAAAAGAAAACGTGGGTAGCGACACCAGCTTGGACGTTTATGCACCATTCGCCGTGAGGTTGCATAGTTTGACAGTGCCTTCTAGGGCCTACGAAGTTCTTTATCACCAAAAATGAAGTGTATTCTTTTCTGAGGGTGCCATAGGCTTAACAAGTTTGAAGAAATTTTGTAGAGCCAGTGGTGCCAAAAAATACGATAAATGCACTTTAAAATTTGTGACATCACGTGCGACTACTTTGGCGTGAAATTTAAAAATGAAAATTTAAACTTGGTAGTTTTCTTTTATTAATAAACCTATCATGGCCAAATTAATGACATTAGAGCTTTGACAGTACAATTTATCAACCTAAACAGCTTCATTATTTCTCTTTAGTGTTCTTTGTTCTTTTGTAACATTGTTAAAAAATCTGTTGTTCAAACAATGGCAGTAGTCCCACATAAATTAGCTTTTTTCTTTTTTCGGTTTATATCCCACTTGATTGCTCTGGTTGACTGCTTTGCTGCATGATATGTTATTGATTTCATGTAGTGAGGCTGTAATTGTCATGTTTTGTGCGCAGGCCATGAAATAGCGGACTTTGACCTCATTGCCGTGGCACGGTTGCGGGGGCCACAGCTGAAGGAATTGGTCATTCCAGCTGACTGCGTGTCGGGCAGCAGCATTGGTGGGCCGTACTACAGCGAGCTTCGCCTCGCTGACGTCGAACACCTGGAAACAGAAGTCTCCCTGAGCTTACAGAGGACGTGGACATTGACCAATCGCCAGTCCCCTGCCCAGAATGAAATGGGAGAAATTCGGAGCTACATGCGCTCTATACAAGAGCTTCAGAGTTATACAAGCTTGTAGCATTGTCTACATTGCAGCCACTTGCTTCTTGAAGGCGTTGCCCGAGAGTCATCTGCCATTTGCTCATTCCATGCCAGCCTGTTACCCCGAGGCACCGTGTTCATCCTAACTGGTATATGGCCAGCTTATGGCCTCTAAACGGGTGTAAAGTTGGCAAGTGGCTGCACCCAGATGTGCAACCGTTGTTGAAGTACCTGTACAACTTTTATTCCACTGGGGAGAATCGCGGTTGCTTTTGTACACAAGAGTTCCCCTTGATTGACGATAGCGTATTGTTGAACAGCAAAGCATATAACACTCATCACCCTGTTGACGCACAGCCCGCTAAAAGGGCTGTCTGTTACTGTAAACATCTCTCATTTTTGAACCAGTTGTTTTGTGCTGCGCTGCAGCTGACATCCAGTGCGTGGACCGCAGGCAGTAAAGTCTTTTTATTGGGCCACCTGTGATGCAAATGTGATATTCCTGCTGGCTTTTTACAAGCCGGCAGTGTGGTCTCAAGGTTTTTCAAGTGTGCCAAGTTAGAACAACGCCACTGACACATGCTTACCAACTGAACACCACACACACAGGACATGCCTATCACACCACGAAGTGCAGTGCGCAAATTCCAAGTGGCCGTGTTGCATGACGGGCTACACGGCTGCTATACTGCCCTGTCAACCGGCTCTCAAATTCCAGAGACTAGCTCTTGTTTAACACCACTTCTTAAGGTTCCATCCAAGACCAAACAATACATCTAGACTAAGCAGATTTCACATTTGGCCACACGTGCCCCTCTTATCGGTGCCATCTTTGTGATCTGCTTTCAGAAGTCAGTCTTTTCCAAACCGTGGCCAATGTCTTCAGAGATCTATATTGTATCTGTGCCTCTATAATACTATCCAATGCACAGTGCCCATGAGCATTTGTTAACTTGGCAAGAGGTTTAATATATTTTGACAGCCAATTTTCTTTTAGATGTGTAACTTTGAGCACATTGTTATTTGCATTGCGTTTCTGTCCTTTTGAAACTTTGATGTGTGCACATTTTTTTTACTGTTCTTTGTGCACTTTTTGTTTTGTGAACAGGGCACATGTTGTGCCATAGTCAACATCAGTGCTATATGTGAATCTGTTGTTTTCCAGCAAATGTCTTGTTTTTCAAGCTCTTAAAGGTGCTCAGGACGTGGAAATGTCCTTTGAAAGTTATGTATTGTAGCCCACAAATAAAGACATTTTAAGTATGTTATCACCTGGTATACATTCTTCAATATGTTCCCTCTGGATATTTCAACTGAGCGTCGTGCAGCGTGATTTTTGCACTGATAAATTCCTCGTTATATTTCGCATGAATGTAGCATAAGTAACACCCCATCTGCGAAGCATCAAGATGTGGGTTTGACTCCTGGCCATGGCAGCTGCATTTTGATAATGTGAAAAATGCAAAAGCACTCATGTATGCAGACTTAGGCACACATGAAAAAACTCCAGGCAGTCAAAATTGATCTGATTTTGCCATGGCACCAAGGCCATCACTTGGGGAGAGTTGAGGGGGCTCTGACAGCCCCGAAGTTTCTTCATGCTTTACTTTTCGGGTAACGCTAATGTACACAATTTCAAATCGACTACGAGTGCCTAAAGTTAGCTGTTCTTCACATAAACACCCCCGGAAAAAAATCCTAGGTACAGTCCTGCTCGTAACATAATTCTTGCACATGAAACACCATAAATATTTTTCAGCAACCCCTGTGGTATAATTGTGCAGTAATGGGAATGCCATGGCCAAACCGAATGTTGCAGTAAATTAATGAAATCAGTCTGGTAAACCAAATTTTGAAAGAGCTTTACCATATGCCCACACAAGAATAGTGTTGTTCTCGTGGAGTATGGCAAAAGCCTGTTCAGATTTATGTTTATGCTGTGGCTCTATGACCATAGCATCACCTTGCTCAGAATAAGGCCATGTCTTCCAGTAACAGCATTACAGAGCTCCTTGAAGCTACTACAGAACTCTTCGAATAGGCAGTCCTTGTAGTTCTGAAGTGGCTGTGAGCCACTCTGGGGTGGATCATCTCTTGTCAGCAGGCTAAAGGACACCTTGAGAAGACCTTGTGTATTATAGTCCAGACAGCATGTTGGCCTACTTAATTCTGCCAAAAAAAGTAGTTATATTTGTCTCGTGTTGTCCAAAGACTTCGTGTAAGTTTCCTCCTCGTGACCACAGTCTTAATTTGCGTGGTCCGATCTGTTGAATTTACAATGAAATCAAGGCTGTCTATAATGTCTGTGGCTAATTTGCACGCATAGCTTGAAAACTTTGGTTTGTTAAAAACACTTACGTGAGGTGCTGCCCATTATTTTGGTTTGAAAAGGCTGCGAACGGAATATTCATTTAGAGTGTGCAAGAAGCGTCGTGTAATATATTCCTCGGGGAATATATTGCGCAGAAGGAATATCTCGCAGGCACTGCGCACTGTGATCGTGTGCAGTGCCTGCGAGATAGGACATCAAAAATCGGGCGATGCGGGCTGTGTGCTCGTTTTTTTAAGGGGGGATAAGGGTCTTAAAAAACACAAAATTGTAAAAAGTGTCGACTTTCAAAAATTGCAATTTGAGGTATTTATAGTCGAAAGTGTGTTTTGAAAAAATTTGATATTACGGGAAAATGCCATTTCTTTTTGTTAAAAGCTTAATATATGAAATTACAGATGTTTTTAAAACTGAAAACATAATTTTCTTGGCATTGTCATTTTTGTGAAGTAAATGTGCCTTATGGAAGTTTTCAGCAAGTTTCTGTGAAGATATCTAAACAAACTTGGTACCATTAGTTTACGCACCACTTGAACTACAGGCTAAAGCATTTATTTTTCTCTCAACTTTGATATAATTGTAATTATATGACAAATACCAGCTGATTACTGGAAGCTCATTTTTACCTTCCAAGTTTGAAAATTATTTCTAGTGAAATAAATGTCCGTTTTGACTTCTATACTTTGCTTTAGCCTGTGGGGAGAACCTTTTATCAGAAACATGTAGTTTTGAAAACTAACGTTTCTTTTATTGTGGCTTACCATAACGACTCATAAGAAATTACCAAATTATAATGTGGAAATTTGTCATTACTTTTTTTCTAAATGAGACACTCGAAATTTGTATGGAGATTTGAAATCTCCATTCAATGGTACACATGCATGGTAATTTTTATGACAGTAGGTTAATAATTAAAGAAAAATTAAGACCATCGCCTTTCCTTAAGGAAATTAGCACAAGAACCGAGATACCTGTTGGCATGTGAGCGTTGCATACTAAGGTGAGGTTCGTCCTACAAGAGTCTCTGCCGGATGTGAACAAGTAGCCTCGACATCCGCTGTCGCCAAATACGGAGCGAAACGACGATAACGTCTGGAAACAACGATGAAAATGAAACTTAGCGTCTTTTGTTTTGCTTTCTTTCACTTCCCGCGCGGCACTTGCGCTCGTGTGTGTGTTGCAGCCGCCCTAAACAAAGTTTCTGCTGCCTACTTGTGAACCTAAACAACTTCATAACTGATGTGCATCGCGGCGACAAGTGTTATAACCTTCGTTTTGAATTAATCGGATTCGCAAACTCGCTGTGGTAGAGTTCACCGGCTCGTTGCGCGCACAGGAAACGATGAAAAGCACGGGGTCGGGGTTTTTGTCTCCGGTCGTTAGCCTGCTTGCTGGCACCCTCATTGGATTCGTGATCACTAGTCAGATTTTACTGTGGCTCAACAGCGAGAACTTCTGTGACTCAGTCGCCTTTCAGGCGAACGCAAGCGACACCGAAGTCTCGCCTCCTGTTTGTCGGCGTTATGACGGCGGAGAAGTATCTGTCTACACGAGCTCTCGCTATCCAGCGAACTTGGGGCAAAGCCTTGAGCGGAAGGCTGGCGTTCTTCTCGAGCGGTACGTCCCAGTTGGGATGGCGAGGAAAAGCTACCGCTGGTCGCCCTCCGCGGCGTTGATGATTCCTACCCGCCGCAGAAGAAGTCATTTCTAATGCTCAAGTACATGCACGATCACTACATCGACCAGTACGAATGGTTCATGCGCTGCGACGACGACGTTTACGTGCACGTCGAAAGACTGGAGCGCTTCCTACGCTTCAGTTAACTCAAGTAAGTCTTCTTTCCGCAAACCGCTTCGATCGCACTCCGTCACACATGGGGGAAAAAAAAAAAAACACAACCATTCTGGACTGTAGCACCGGAATACAAGAACTGGCGTCCCTACCTCGGCAGTGCTTTTTTTTTTTTTCTGAAGGGTGATATTTATTTGCAACTTCCATGAAGGGATCATGGCATCTCCCAAGGAGCCTTCCGTGAAGAAATATACGAACGCATTGCCGAGGCAGTGACGTCTAGCCTTTGTACTCCCGTGCGGCAGTCCAGAAAGGAGGTGTACTTGTCGATGACATGCTACAACTGTTCAGTTATTTTCCTCTTCACTACATCCTCTACTATGTTGATTTCAGCATGCTCTGGCTGTGTTCATGCTTGATATAATTAGCTTATCGCCGAGGCTGGCACAGCTAATGCATCTTTGTATTTCAAAGTGCATCACTGTCTCTGACCGTGCACCTGACTGCATGCAGGCAAGCCACAGTACATCGGGCAAGCTGGACTTGGAAACAAAGAAGAATTTGGCCAGCTGAGCCTTGAGCCCGATGAGAACTTTTGCATGGGTGGCCCTGGTGTACTTTTTAGCAGGGAGACGCTTCGGCGTCCTTGTTCCACACATCTCAACCTGCCTGAAGCACCTTTATTCGACACATGAGGACGTTGAAGTTGGACGTTGTGTGAGACGGCACGTTGGCATTCCTTGCACTTGGTCTTACGAGGTATCGTATCTAATTTTATTCAGTTACATGTCGCAATGCTAACAGCATATTTTGTGATGGTGGTGTTTAGGCAGGACTTCTATATGCTTGGATTGATCTTACTGTTGCCTTGATTTAGTAAGCATTCTTCATTGCCTTACAGATGCAAACAATATTTTATCACAACTTCTTTGGTGAGGTGGCTCTGAAAGGCCGTGTGCGGCGACGCGAGGTGCACCGGTCACTAACGCTGCACCCAATCAAGGATCCTCGAGAAATGTATAAGGTGCATGCATACTTTGGTGGATTTCGTGCGCAAGAATTGAGACATCGATCACTTCAGCTTCTCAGGGAGATTCGCTGGGCTGCTCAAAGCTATGGTGGATGTGTATCGCCAAGCCAAGTAAGTCTGATTGTGACAGCATTAAGCTTTCACAAGGTACAAATGTCAGTGAATGTTGATATACTCTTCTGCTGGAAGTGAAATGTAATGTAAATTCAAGCGATGGTGTGCAAACAGCAAGAACTAGGCAGGTGAGCTGCTGTGTGTACCTGGTTGACGTCTACAGAACAGGAGTTTCCAGATAAATATTTCATTATCAAAGATTTCTTTCCATTGGTACGATACAGCACAGATGCAGATGGATCAGTCTTTGATGTTTCCTGACCGTTTGTTTATACTAGGATGACTGTGGTCTTTTCTTAGATGTCAGTGTTGCCAAATACTACCAGGCAAAGAAGTGAATACTCATCACAAAAAAAAAAGCCCAAAACAAGCACAAACACGATCAATTTTTCTTTTCTTGAAAGTCTTTTTTTATTATAATAAAAATGGATGACTCAAATACCAACAAAACTTTAAAGAATCATCTAACTGTTTTGTACAGCAAAAATATGTACAACTGTGTGATATGTGCAGCAAAAATGTGTGAACGAAAGCACATAGCTTCTATTTAAGATTGTCTACAAGTCAGTCTCCCACTGGTTGAAGGCACGTTTGCCAGTGCACGATTGACATCATTCCGTTGATTTCCCGAACATATGTTTGACTTCAACACTCAACCATAGGTGTGCGCATGGGACAGTGGGTCAGTCAGGAAGAAATCAGCCACATTGACCTAGTAGGATGAGAGGGGCTGCTATGAATCTTTGCCCATTTTGATAATGAACTCTGCACACATCTACATACTTGTACACTCAACCGCTAAATGTCATCACTAAGACACTGTTAGTGAATGGCAAATGTGCATTTGTGAATTTGATAATCGCCATAGTTACTATACCTGTTGGAAAATTTCAAATAAACCCCAAAAAATGGGAGAAGCAACTGGAAAATTATACAAGTGACTCAGAAAAAAAAAAGGACAGCCCAAATTCTATTATAAGCAAAACTGACAGCTCGAAAAGATGCTATGTCATCAAAAGTGTAGCATGGTGGCATGCCAAGGACATCATCCAAATGCATTGACCCATTTGTCGTTGGGAGCACTGTACAAATGCATCAAGAAGGTCATTTTGTTTCACTTATGGCACTGATAGTAGTACTGGAAGCTCAATACTATGACAGCGTGAAACTGTGACTCAACAGGTTTTAAATTTGTGGCAGTTTCAATTATGAGGAAAATAAGATGAAGCCAGCCACACTGTAGTTGAACACTATGTGATGTTGTAGTTTTATGAAACAAAGACGCTTTTATTGTATTATTGAAAATGCCAAATTTTGAAGCTAGAATATTACCAATCCTGCTTCATTTACTATAATTGTCAATATGATAACTGGAGACAACAAGGGTAGTAATTTCATGAGTGTGTGCTTAGTTTTTGTCACTGTTGCTGACAGGAAGTTGAACTGCATTGTTCATTGAGTCAACAACATAAAACCAGTCAGTAAGTCATAGTGTCAGTGCAATACATTTTTTTTGTCTTGAAAAGGTTCTAGTGCATGCAGACAGGGACAAGATACAGTACTGTGTTTTGTTTCTTTTCACTTTGTCACTGTCTCTGTGTGCTTTTACGTTTCTGAAATTCGAATACTTACCAGCCCAACAACTCATTCTAATGAACGTCTCTGTGGTCAGCTCAGTCAAGAGTTTGATAAGGGGAAGCCATGGGTGAGATTTAGATGTAGTTGTAAGTTGTCTGTCTAGTGGTGCTAAGCTGGGTTGAGAACCGACATAGGGCAGATATGAAAATTGATGGTAAAAATTAAAGCTCCGCCTTTAGGAGTTGCACACGATAATAGGTATAGTTATCGACATAGTTTTTTTTTTACTTTGAAGTTTGCACTCTCCTTTTATTTGTTTTAAATTCGTTAGGCTGCATCACCATGGTGTAAGGGTATTGTCAATGGATCTTCAGCTCTCTCTGAGATGCCTTCTGTCACGAAGTATTTTCCGGGAGAAATTCAAGATCTCCTAACATGGGACTTCTTTGCAAAGAGCCTCTACTCAGATCAAGTAAGACCTTTGTGACATTTCATGCAAATACAGTGATAGGAAATGCCAGTAAACCAGATAACTGCATGGGTGGCAAACCAATTCTGGACAACTCAGTATCATATGTATGCCATAGCTTTCTCTACAGTCACATCCAGAAGCATGAATGATGTTTGTGCTTTTTCCACATAATGTGTTATAAAGGTTGCTGTGATAAACTTATATTTAAGAATTGTTTACAAAAGCCTGCACTGTCCAGATAAATTATTATTATTATTATTATTATTATTATTATTGCTATTGTGTTTCATTGTTAGCTACTATTATGTTAGTTTATATTTACAGTTTTTAACAAACAAATGAATGTTCATTGAATCACATTGGATTTTAACAGTGATGTGAAAACAAGCACACACATAATACTGGGTGGTTGTCAGTAACATGAAATTACTGTTTCTACCTGCATGTGCCCATATTATGCTACATAAAAGCTTCATTGTGATAAATAGACAAGGATGGAAAAGGGACCACTCGATGCGAGGGCACAGATTATTCTCCTGTTAAGTTTCAGTAATACAATAGAACACAATAGCATAAAGTCAGCCTGGCCATCCTAATGTTTTGTGATCATGGTAGATTACGATATCAAGGGTATCCTGTCTGTTAACATGACCAAAAGGCTGAATGGCATTGCATGAACCCAGTTCAACCACAGATGATTATTGTATATCACCTTTTCCAATGCGCACTGGCATTCTGTTTTCTAGGTTTTTCTTTCTTTCCTTTTTTGTGGTGATGTGTCTTTTGACATTAATTCTTTTGCTCTTTTAGCATTTTGCCAGTGCTCAGGAAGGCACTACCTCCATGCTGTCAGTAAGATCAGCTGGTCCTGAATGGTAGATGATGGGAGTGACATAGAATTGAGCAGTTGGGCAACACCATAAAATTAAGGGCTAGTTTGTATTATGCAGGCTTGATATAGGATTTCTGGAATTGGTCCTACCTGAGATAGGGACTTACCTCGGATAGGGCTGGAATTAAGGATTACACATTTTCTTGCATTGACTGATGTGCTCCTGTTGGTGAAGTGTAGCTGTGATGTTGGATATTAAAGCAGATGCTTTTTCAGTTAAATGTAGCTTAAATAGCTCAGGATGACGTTGCTTTTGTTCACAGAAATTGTTCCATATTTTTTTTCGGTAGGATGTTGCGACACTGTAGCTTAAACAGTGTCGCAACATCGACACTGTGGGAAAATCAAGGACAGTATTTTTGGGTTTTGAAACTATTTGAAGGCTTAATATCCTTTAGTCTAACCCCGATATATCGAATTGGAAGTCGATTGCGAAATTGTTCGATATATTAGTAATTCCACATAAAAAATGTCATTGGCTTAGCTCAGCTATGCCAGGATATACGTAGCGTTAGCAAAGGTTCAGCTGATTATTCTTAGCTTTCCAGATATCATGCTTACAGCTGTTCCTATGACACACACACGGTATACGTACGATGTGGCACATGTATCTTTATTTTGCCGGGCAACTACTTCGGGATCCGATGAGTTAAGCTTCTCCGCTCTACTGCACCGTTGAGCAGCATTTGCACTCTCCTTCTCCATGGCTATACTACAGTGGTTAACGCGGCAAACACCAGTCAGAGGCGCTATCAAGCGGCTCCAGCGCAGTAACAGATGGCGACTGCACAGGGAAGGCGCGCGCGTCGGCGTCCATATGTCTACCAAGGCTATGACGGCACTCCTCTGGAAAGCGCACTCCGGCGGCGACGAGTCGCGCGCGGCCGCGGCCAAGTGCTAGGGAGGTGCCGGCTATGGTGCGTGACACCACTGATCGTCTGCGCAGCACATCGAATTGCGCGCACACCGGCGGCGAGCAGCGCGCGGCGGCGGCGTAGTATCATTGCGCATGCGCAGACCACTGCCACGCGAAATTGGCTCAGCGAGGCTAGTGTAGCTAACGCTACAAAACTCACGTTTATCTGGAGCTAATCCGAAAAACTTCATGCTTGTTGGAGAGTATTGACGTCATGAAAAGTGAGAAATTTACCGATTTTTGTGGTGATATTCTTTGTTTTCTCTCTCATCTGTGCCTCGTGGGAAGCGCGTTTCAAGCCGGTACGCTTTTCGCTTTCTTTAAAGGTGCCCTGCAACACTATCTGGGCATGGTCAGAAAACACTGCCGATCGGTAGTAGAGGCTCCCGAGAACGCGCGAGCCAAATATTACAGCCCAGCACGAGGCTTGGAATACACAATAAATTATCAAAGTCAACGTAAAATTACTTTCTCCTTTCTCGACAAATGACGAGAGACGGCTCGGAAAGTACTCGTAGAAGGCCTTCTATCATTTATTGGCTGACTTGAACATGGCCGCGCTCGGTCGTTATAGGGATCGCCGCGGGAAGACGCGACTTGTCCCCGCGTGCGGGCTCGATCACACTGGAAAAGACGCGTATTCAAAGAAAAAAAGAAAGAAGGAAGTGCTCAATGTCACGAGGTGCACGTGTACGTATTTTCTTTGCCCTTGCCATCCTTCTCTGCTTGGCTTCCAGCACTTCCGTCGGTACGAGAGAAGGGAGAATGCGATTGTAGCGCGCGACAAATCTTTGTAACTCGGCTCGTACTGGACGGATTCTTATAATTTTTGTGGCGTTGAATTCGTGACGCATTACAGCTCTTTTAGTGAATCCATTCCATGGCTACTTGAAAACGTGTTTCAGGGCTACTTTAAGAAGCGAGGTGGCAACTTTCCAATAAAGGAGGCCGCAGGCAATGTACTTCATGGCGTAGCAGTTCGTCCTTTTTATTTTAATCTTCACCGCATGACACTCTTATATTAGCGGTGGAGCGTTATAAACCAAGTTGATCATGGTGAAAGGCAAGTAGTGTAATTGTTACATAGATCATTCCATACATTGTGTCACACACGTCGCTCAGTTTACGTCAGTGCCTTTAATATTCAATCCCTGTATCTGCCGAAACAGTTCCGTCTGGTCGGGATGAATATTTTCGGTGAGTGGAGTGGAACGATTTTATTGTGATAGCAATTACGTGGACAGTCTCGGCTGTTTTTTTTTTTTTGTTTTTGCCGCTGCCGCCTTGCATCGTGTATATATATATATATATATATATATATATATATATATATATATATATAAAAATAAATCGGCCAGTTTGTTTATATGAAAACTCAAGAGAGAAAGAAAAAAAATTGGCCACGAATCTGCATGTTACACTGCATATGTCGTTGAAAGACGATAGTCTTGCGTCTGGAGAGAATGAACAAAACATTATTTGATGTTCTGCACAAGAAAATTGGCGAATTGTATTCTGGAAGTACTGCGTTAGTGCCTCGAGCGTGTAGCGGAGGCAAATGAGCGCATTGAGGCACGTTACACACGAGTGCCATCTGGCAGTTCGAAAACGAAGGAAGCAGCGCGCACCTGCGGAAAAAGATGCGCGCTTGTCTCGGAGGTGATAAGGTGTAGAACGCAAAGCGACGGGCAGGTGCCACCACCGTGTCGTCTTACCAAAGCGTTGGAAGCACTTACCTTTTTGAACATCGCGTTGCACTGTCAGCGCAGTGTGATAAACACTACGGTCGTTAGAATTACTTGTGTGTGCCTTCTCTATTATAAAGGCACACATACAAAACATCGATGTGTTGTTATGGTGCCTCATATATGCGCAATAATTGCTTTTTAATTGACAATCGCACAAGTACGAACGCTGAATCTTGATCAATATTGGTCGGCGCTGCGGATGGGGTTGGCCGTTTGGTGTCGTTTGAGGTATCGGTAAGGGCGGGCAGACAAATGTACAGACAGACAGACCAATTTTTTTTCCGTCGAAGAGCCCCAACGAAGACTATCGTCTTAAAAAAAACCCGCCCGCGCTCGGCGCCTAGTTTGTCCCGTTTGCTGGCCCCGTTTGCTAAAATAGCGCACTTTTCATGCCCAGCGAAGTGTAACAACTAGGACACTTCTTAGTTTGCATTCATCTGTACTTGTGATTACGTCGTGCGTCGTTTTTATTTAAACAGTGCGTTAAGTGTCGAGTGGCAAACATTGATATTTCGCTCTCGTCCTGTGTATGTTGTTTTCGCTCGTTATTTGTGCGTGAGCAGCGCGCTGCACGTTTCGATCTGCTTGTCGTTCTCAGTGGTACATTCCAAGTTGTTGCTATCGTATTCATTATTTCGCTCTTGCGGGGAAACTGTGACTTTTTATTCATATCCTGCAGAACGTTTTTAGCGCGGAGCGGACGTTTCCCACGTAAAAGCTGACCAGGTAATACCTGGCGGCCACATCGAGGGCACAACTTATTCTAGCAGGTTATGGGAAGCGCACTTGTAGAATTGTGGCGCGACGTTCGACATATCGTAAGTAAAACTTAACAGGAGTTCGGTATGAGTGCGCCGTACAGGGCTGTACTTTTGCTTGAAATTTTCACTTGGTTGTTACGAAAGTTATAGATATGTAGAGTGTTGAATATTTGCTTTGTTCGCCACTTTGTGCATTCGCAACAGGTGACGAACCCGCGTCGGCGCATCGAGTCGTACTACGAGATCAGCATCAACAACGTTATCAGCGACCTGATGGAACTCACGAACCGCTACTCCAAGCAGCGTGGTCGCGTAATCGAGTTCAAGGACGTGCTGTACGGCTACCTGCGAGTAGACCCGCTTCACGGTGCCGACTACGTGCTCGACCTGCTGCTCACGTACCGCAAGTACCGAGGCCGCAAGATGACTTTGCCCGTGCGCCGTCACGCCTACGTACAGCAACCCTTCACCCAGCTGCGAATCCGTGACGTGACTCCTTCCGCCGAGGATTCGCGACGGCAGAGCCGCCATCCGCTTTGTGCTACCACTCTGTGGCCGCCGAGCCGCGTTCGAGCGCTTCCTACGCATCTTCCGCGACGTGTGCCTGGACGCTGACGAAGCGTGTAGCCTGCTCGTGGTGCAGTACAGGGACACAGCGGCCGAGGCCGATGACCTAGAAGGCACGGTCACCGCAGAGAAGGTGCTCGGTGCCGACTACGACAAGTCGCGGGTCGAGTTCCTGCCAGGCGGCAATGGCGGAGAGTTCTCTCGGGCTGCGGCGCTCGAGCTGGGCGCGTCGCGCTTCAAGGACGACGAACTGCTGTTCTTCATCGACGTGGACATGACGTTCGACGCCGGCGTGCTGCGCAGGGTTCGGACCCACACGGCACGGCGCCGCAGTGCCTACTTCCCCATCGTGTTCAGCCAGTACGACCCAGCCTTCACGGGCGTTTCGCCGCAAGACCCTCCTCGAGTGGCCCCCGAGGAAGGCTACTGGCGCCAGTTTGGCTTCGGCATCGCCGCTATCTACAAGTCGGACCTGGCGGCCGTCGGCGGTCTCGACGTCAGCATCCGGGGCTGGGGCAAGGAGGATGTTGACCTGTTCGACCGCGTCGTGGCTTCCAACCTGACCGTGGTGCGTGCTCCGGACCCTGGCCTTGTACACGTCTTCCACCCTGTGCGCTGTAGCCCTGACTTGGCCTCTGCTCAGTTCGACATGTGCCTAGGAACCAAGTGGAACAGCGTTGCCTCCGAGCGCACCTTGGCCGCTATCATTGCCCAGCGGCATCACGAGCTGCTCACGCGCAACTTCAGGCGTTGAGGAGTAGAGAGCAGGTTGGCGCGTACTCTGGCTATAGGGCGATGAATATTTGTCACGTCTATGCAATACCAAGCCCGGCTTATGTGTAATATAGGCATTTGTTTGGCAAATGGCACATCGCCGATGCATTTAGTACTGTGACGTATGTACTTTGGTTGTACTCAAAGCCTGGGGCATAGCCTCATTTTTGTGTGCGGGGGGAGGAAGCGGTGCCTGACTCCCCTTCCCCACCCCTTTTCTGTATCATATTGTGGCAACGTGTCGCAAGAACAGGACACAATGCTTCGTTTCTACGAGAACAGCAAGGCTCTATTCGCACACAGGAACAAAATGCAAGAGCAGACGCCCGAAGTCGTCTTCCTTGAAAAACGCTGGGGATTGCCACTTCTGAGGCTGGCTTCTTCCTCCTCTGTTGTGCTTACGGCTAATAATCGTGACAATATGTTTGTGCGTGTGTTAGTAGGAGTGCGCAGTATGTATGCGCACATAAAATGTAAGACTTTTGGTTGGAGGGAAGGGTGGGGGGGTTACGGCACTGATCTATGCCGTTTCTGCATAGTTCCCGCCGAATGTATTACATCAGTGCTGTCTTTTCTGGTTAGAATTGTTGCCTGAAAACTCACCTGTTTTTTCTGGATGTATCTCGGGTTTGGCCTGATATTTTTGTTATGAATGCGGGCACGACCATAAGTTTTTCGCAGATGTACCCTACACCACGCGAAAAAAAAAATGTAAAAGGCAAACGCGGGAGGGCCTGTCGCATTGTTGCCATTATGTGCAAGGTATCTAGGCTAAGTCGGATTCAGACTCGAGCAATGGTATAGAACTAACGCAGCTTTAGACCGAAACGCATCGAGGAGCGCGCGTTAGGCAAAAGTTCCTGAAACACGTCTCTCATAATTATTGGTTTTTTTTTTAAGCCTGTTTCAGTTGCAATACAGCGGTGTGATGAGGCAAAGCACAATAAGAGTGGAAAGGGGCATGTGAACGAAGCGTTAGATCGGTGCTTCCGCCGACTCCCGGGTGCTACTTGCCTGGCGCATTGTTTTATTGCGATAGCAATTATATGTACAGTCTCGGCTGGTTTTTTTTGCCATCGCCGCCGCCGCCGCCGTCATTCACGTATATGTATACCTATATGATGCTGCTAGCCTTCTCTTTTTGTGGAGCCAACATCGCCTTTCCGGCCGGGATCGTCTGCGCGCGCGCTTATCTCGTGAGCGAGCAAGGGCGGGGGGCGCTTATGGTTTGCAGCGCTATCGCGGCAACGATCAGTGCGTGGCCTGTGCCACCACAGTGGGTGGGAGTTTCTACGGGCTGTGCTCTCAACACGCGCGCGCGCGCGCACGCACGCGCACCACACACACACACACACACACACACACACACACACACACACACACACACACACACACACGCAAAACGGTGCCAAAAGTGTACCTCGAGCGGCCGTGTTCTCTTACATCAGCGTTTTTTAGAGTTACGTGAGATGGAATCTAAATGAGTAGACTGCCAGCCCACTTCGATAGATTGATTTACATGTGGAGATGAACGTCCCAAAACCACCATATGATTATGAGAGGCGCCGTAGCGGAGGGCTCCGGAAATTTTGACCATTTGGAGTTCTTTAATCCAGCCCACTTAGTATATCGACGCCGTCACTACGCATGAGCCTAGTTGTGGTCATATACTGTGGCCGCGCCGCAGGAAAGCTTGGTTACTTACTTAGCAAGTGCACGTTTACTACAATTAATATTGCTCCTAAAAATGACAGCCTTGCTTCGTAAAACATTCGAATATGTTGCTATCGCATTCATTGCGATGCCATTTTGAAGAAACTGTGACTTTTTTTATAAGTGTTTCTTGTTGCATATGCTGACGTTTTTAAGCCCAGGTTTGATAATGTTCATTCGATATAACTGCCACTCCAAGTGCAGTCTTGCAATCTTCGTGTATGGCACATGTCCTTACACCTTACTCATGTATTTATCTATTTACCTTTTACACTCCCACTTGTTTTTGCATTGTGACCAAAAACTTAAGCTTTAAGATCGCACTTTTATCTCTGTGCCTTGACTCCGCCAAAGTATGTGCAAACTGTATGAATTTACACAGTTGGTTTTTAGACCTTTTACGTGCGTCGTGTCTTGGCGCCATGTGCGTTTTACTACATCTTTGTGAAACTGCCTATGTTGTTGTCTGTGCCCTGCACGCCTGTTGATAGTAAGTGTTGTTAGTCACCTTGCGTGGAGTATTGTTACGCCGTGTGAGTATTTTCGAAAGGCATTGCTTGCGTGCTAGTCGCGGTTGCTTATCGCACACGTGACATGCGCTATCTCAGCCGCAGACGTCATCGCTGTGCGGCTGATTGACAGAAAGGTTCCGCGCCGGACGCATGCACGCCGCGTGCCAAATTGTTTCCGGCATAGATCAGCTCGGGCGTCCGAAGGCATTGAGTGCCGCTTCCGGTGTAGTTCGTGCAACCGGAAGTCCAAGTATCGAGTCTCTTTCTCTCGTGTGTCTGCCAAGGCTGTCACAGCCGAGGGTGCGTTATGACTGAGTGCTGATTGAAGCTGATTGTCATACAGATGCATTCTAGAGCCTAGAAGACAAAGCTCTTTTCGTGTGTAATGATGCCAAATTTTCGCGACCTGCTGTGCGCATCGCTTTTCTGTTACTGTATAAATCTTTACAAGTTATAAGACCGGTGATAACGTGGGCATTTTTTTTTAACGCGGGCTTTGCAGCTGTGGAACTTCATGCTAATACGGACAGCTAATATGTCCGCAGAATGTCTTGGGAGGGGTGCGCCAGTGTGGATTAGGGGAGGGTCAAGCGCGCAAAATGCGCCCCCCCCCCCCACCTTTCGACTTTCATGGAAAGAAATGCCGTATTTACTCGAATGTAACGCGACTTTTTCCAGATGTTTGCTACCTAATCCTGACCCTCGAGTTTCGATCGAATATGAAAATTCATTCTTTTTTCTTCCTGGACGCAATGAAAAGTCGCCCCTCGCGTTACAATCGAGTAAGTACGTGTGAGCGTGCTTTTCCGCGAAATACGGGCAACTGTACAGTGAGGTAGGAAAATCAAAAGCGTGCGACAGACGAGAAGCTGTGTTTCGGATAACGACGCTCGCTTAGATAAGGCGCACAATGATTGTTTTTCTCGCACATTTAATGAACACGGTCACAGCTGAGAAAAGAAATAAGAGTCGGCACCATTCGGCAACTCTCGCTAGGGCGCGTTCTTGTACCAGATCGCGCACGAAACGGCGCTGCGGTGGCGAATGCAAAAGCCTATAATACGCACACCGCGAAGTTAGTTGTTTCAGTTACCCAATTTCAATTTGAGTATAACGGGCACTAAAGCGAACCAAAGAAGGAAATTGTAAGGGCTCGTATCTTTGTTTGAGTAATGAAAACCAGCAAATAATGAAGGTTAGGAAACTATAAGGGAGATTATTTGCACCGTATTCAATATATTCATGATACAATCGTGAAGAAAGTAACTGAAAGATAAGACAACTTGGCGCCGGCAGAGTTCGAACCTTCAACCTTCGGATAATGCGGCCGATGCTCTACCTGTCGAGCTACGGCGGCGGTCGATCTCACGCCCGCATTATCGGGTATTTCTGTGCATTTACGTGAACCTGGGAATGTTCCACGCTCGCCGTCATAGCCACGAGAGGCGCTGACTAATTGACACTGCCAGGCTTGCTTGCAGAGAAATGTTTGGTAAAATGTACAGGCGGACGATCGCCGGCAATTGCTCAATTAACTTGTAGAGCACAGGGCGCGCTATCCGAACGTTGCAGGTTTGACCCCTGCTGACGCCAAGTTGCCGTGTCATTCACTTTACTTTGCTCACGTTTATATCAAGAATACTACAGTACAAATAACATCCATTATAGCTTCCTTGGCTTCACTAAGTGTTGGTTTTATGAAGTCGTACTCTAAGGTCACTTTAAACTGATGCACATGTCTATCGCGCCCTGCAAATGAACGTCATTTTCTTTTCCGGACAATTTTAATCCTTTTTTTTTTCGAAAGATAAAGATCTGATTGTTACGACGCCGCAAAATGTCTTTTTGCGCGAGAAATCTTTTGTCCGTCACCGTACACCCAAGACTGGTGCCAGTGCTAGCTCGAAACAGCAAGGGTACAAACAGCGCGAGCTTATTTGCGAATCGACAGGTTTAGAGAAAGCTTATCAAGCTTTGTCGTATGAGCCATGAACTACGTCTACAATCGATCTGCACCGTGACTAGAATTTAATGAGATTGCTGCTGTGTGCTCTTTGAAACATTTATTTTTATCCTAACTTGTCTTGGCATTGTTAGTGTAGTGACGACTCTTATGTTTATCATGTTGTGCTTTATACATTTTATACTGATTTTTACAGCCAATAAGCACTGTTTTTATGTCAAATATTATATCAATAAACTCATTTTATTTGTCAAAGTATTTTTCTTGTTTACTTCGTATGCACGCGTATGTGTCCACGCTATGAACACTTCACATTTTTTTCTTTATTGAATTTTCTCTCGTTATCTTTCTCGCTTCGCAGAAGAGAAGAGTAAAGATAGTCACAGCGTGCTGCAGAATCGGCCTATGAAATTCAATTGACCCGCCGTGGTGATCTGGTATTATGGCATTTGGCTGTTGACTTGATGGTCACGGAACAGAATCCTGGCCGCGGTGGCTGCTTTTCGAGGGAAGTGAAATACTAGAGGTCCATGTGCATAGATTTGATTGATTGCGCTCTGTGGGGCTTAACGTCCCGAAACAGCCATATGGTTATGACTCATGAGAGACGCCGTAGTGAAGGGCTCCGAAAATTTCGACCACCCGTGGTTGGATTTAATTGTAGGTGCGCGTTAACGGACCCCAGGTGGTCTACATTTCCGGCTTCCTCCACTACGGCGTTTGTCATAATGACTTCGTAGTTTTGGGACGTGGAACACCGGGAGTTTATTATTATTATTATTATTATTATTATTATGTGATAGCGTTTACAAGCCCGTTTCGCAGAAATTCTGGTGTCGACGGTGGCGTCCTTGATTGTGGGCGAAAAGCACCGTTGGCCGTGAGCGAAAATTCAAGGTAGATGCTAATAAAGATAGGAGCCGGAGGGAGACTTGTACTTTGGCTTTTCTTGCGGCATAGTAGTATGCCTCCACCGAGAAGCAAAGAATGCGACAGCGTGTGCGTATAGGTGTGGGGGTGGAGCAGCCGCTCTTCTTCTTGCACCGCCCTCCGGACGCTCATATTGAGAACATATCTTGGCGCACCGTCTCCTTCCCTGCGATTTGTGAATGATAAAAGATGTCCTGGCATCTGTCGATTAAGTAATTTCTAGATGTATGCATATGAAAATTTTACCAAACTGACGCTTATAAACTCTATACACCAGAACACAGCAAGCTCGGTGCGTGCTGCCATATTGAAAAGCACGTCGCGCCATCTGTTGCAAGCGCGGCGAAGCAAGACTCATGCACTGCCACGCGAGCAGATGATCCGCAAATCAAACGCGAAACTACACAACCCGAGTCCGTCTATAAGCATGTTTCGCGCTCTCCCTCTTCTGGAATTCGGCGCTCATTTCGTGTGAAACGTAGAGGAGATCTTTAAGTTGAAATACGTGGCGCAAGGTTGCCAATTAGAAGAACGAGTCTGTCTCTCTCGTTCTTCTCATTGGCAACCTTGCGCCACGTATTTCAACTCAATATGTACCAACTAGCCCAACATAACGTACTGTTGAGGAGACCTTTCTCGACAATCCGGAATGTCTACAGCACATGCAGTGCAGGCTGCGGAAGCAACTTATCAGGTACGTACTATCGCGATTGAAAAAAAAAAAAACGCGAACAGCGGAAACTTTCTTTCGACTCAGTCGAATTGCGGCGTGGCTTAGCTTTGGCAAGGTAGAGTATTTGCTGTAAGTCGGCGTCAACGTATAGCGCTAGAATCTCGCTCCAACTTGCGCTCATTCACTGCATGTGTTTGCCATTTTCCAGTCATGCCGTGCACTCGGAACACACACGCGGTGCGAAAGTACCAGCCAGAACAAGATTTTGAAATGCTACGGTGACGCCGGCCGGAAGCACAATATTCGCCTAGTGACAGTCAAGGCATGCCGCAGTTCGACTGATTAGAAAGACGTGCTTTCCGCGCCGTTCGCGTATCTCTTCAACACGATAGTACGCCGTTACAATTGTACTAAACGTGCCCGGTAAGCACAGTCCACGCGTAAGTCGTAATATATATTAGTCATTGGCATGCGGCCTGCGAAAGAGTACGGCAGTGATTTGGTGCCGCATACTACAGGCATACTGCACGCAAATAGCTGCTGTAAAGTGGAACCTGGTGGCGTCGTGCTTGAATAAACGCAATAAGTACACTTACTCGTACGCTTTTACTGTGCTCGTACTTTTTCCTGATGATTGCGATTACATATATACACAGGCGGCGGAGCTCGGCGTTTTTCGTTGCGGATGGAAATCTGTGCAATCGTGAAACACCGCACCGGCACGATTGCCGCATTGTGTTGTGATCTTCAC